GAATCTCCTCCTGCCATCAACTCCTGTTCTGTTTAGCATAGGACAAGCAAAACAAATGCAGGGAAAATAATAACTGCATTCCTTCAAAAAACTCCTCAAAGAGATGCCTTATGAATTATATGCACAGAAAATCGTTTGTGTGGGCTCTCATTTTATCAAAACCATCCCACTTCCTATGTCAATAAAGGGCCATTACCGGTTACATGATATTTCTGGCTTGTAACTTGATGTCTTGCCCATATTTCTTTGCACTGCAGTCAAAAACGTCTTGTCTGCAAAGCACAGGTCAGATAATCTGGGCTCTACAGCTGTTGGCAGCTCCGGGGTTGTTTTTCCTTCCCCTTCACAATTGCCTGCTTTCTTACAGCAATCCACATCGCTGTCCTTGGTTATCCATTCTCTGCAGCCAAGCGACCACCACCATTTTGCTTCTCCTTCTCCCCTTCTCCACAACGCAGCAATGCTTTGCTCCAGGCTGATGGAGCTGCACCAGCATGAGACAAAACGAGTGGGGAATAAATGCCCTGCTCAGGGATTCACTGCCCCCATTTCACTCTGGCTTCATGCACTGCTGCTGCTCCCCAGGTGTCTGCTCTGCAATTAGCAGGGTTTGCTGGCATGCAGCAAAAACTGGGCTTTGTCAGGTTTTATTAATTGCACTGAATAACCACCTCCGCATTGATGTTTTGTTCTAGAGATTTCTTGGTCCCTGGTGGCTTCAGGAGCTGCTGATATTGCATCTCCAGGGCTATTTGATAGCACAGTACATCTGATCCTCCTCCGTGCCTCGCTGGCCTTACCCTGCTGATTGCACTCCCTCCCTTTGCCTTTGTAATTCTTCACCTCCGTGCATCAAAAGCACAGAGCCTTTCTCCAGCTTTCAACCCAATCCAGAGCTGCCCTGGTCCAGCTGGGTCTCCCATTCATCTCATTACAGCATCTCATCCACTTCGCCGCTGCATTCCCCTCCTCAGCATCACAGCCTGGCCTGGCTCATACCTTTCTTTGAATTTTTCTGGAGGAAAAAAGCAGGCTAACCAGAATCCTCGCTGTGGTGCCTCAGTTTATGGTTTAAAGGAGAAAAAAGGACCCTTGTGTTTATTCCACAGCTCTCTGGAGGCTCTTACGTTAAGTAGAGACAGATGAGCTGAGCACACTAAGCTCAGTGTTTCTCTGGGACAACATCTCCATACCTCATACTTCTCTGGGACACCTCTCCATACTTCATGCAACCTTGAAGGAACATCTGATTCCCTTGAAGGTGAGGTTATTCCTAATGAGCCTCTCAAGGGGAGCAAGAAAAGGGAGGTGGATTTTTTTGCACACGTAACCGAAAATCCTGGAAATGGCTGTTGGCTGAGTTGCACTAATAAATAAAGACTAATTTTTGCGTGCATAACTCATGCTGGTGGGAGATAAGAAAGGAATGCAAGTTCCCTCCGAGACCAGTCGAGGAGAGAGTTATCCTCTGAGATCAGAGCAGAGCTCATCGAGCCAGCAGCACAGGCCAGTCCCCATAATAAATCCCCGCTCGGCACAGCAGACCCCGCAGCGAGGCACCGGCTCACCCAGCAGGGAAGCAGGAGGCATGCCAAGCCTGTCCCAGAGCAAGAGTTTGGGGTTTGCAACACAAGCTCCATTTGAGCAGCAGGCTGTTTATCACTGTTATGAAGTAAATGCATTCCTCAAAGGTGAGGCAATGGGCTCTGCGGATGGGAGATGGTGCTCGCCCTCCCAGAAGGCTTCGGGTGGCACTCCTGCTTGGGGAATGGGCTCCACGTGGTTGAAGGCTGGAGAGGCTGCCAAGGAGTCCGGTGCTTCCCTGCTGCCAGAAGAGGAGGGAGCTTGCTGGTTCGCCCTGCTCTTGCAGGTTGTCGGCTCTGCCTGCTTGTTGACCTCGTGAACCAAGTGATGGAGGCTCAACCAGCACCTTTTGTGCACCACTGCTTCGAGACCCTCACACATCCCTCCCAAAAAGCTGGATTTTCCTTCATTCTCTACTTCTTTCTAGTTTTCCTAGTTGAGCTTTTGGAATGATTCAAACTCCTGTCCGCCTTAAAAACACCAAGGTCTCCTCATGCTAGACACAGTCAGAAACCTGGCAATAGAGAATGGCACTGAACTCCTGGGTGTAACAAAAATCCCTCTTGCAGGGTGTTTCACATTCCCTGCTCTTTTCCACAGAACCCCTGCTCCTGTCTCCAGTGGGAGATGCACATCTCCCTCTCCTCACCCATTGCAGCATGTTTTTGGCAGCCAAGCCTGTGCTGCTGAAGGAGAAGTCAGACAGAGCTCCCAGCACTGCCTGCCTTTTTAAGTGCACCCTGGTTACACTCTCACTGTTCTGTGCCTCCTGATGTCACCACAGCCAGGTGCCATCACAGCTGGGATGAGGGAACACCCTTCCCTGCTGGCTGGGCAGGACACAGGAGCAGGGAAATGCCTACTACACAGATAAGTGACAACTGCCCTGTGCAGAGCAGTCCTGCTGCTGGCAGCACTATGAATCACATCTGTCCTTGCCTGATGGTTACACCCAGCCTCACATACACCAGTTTGGTTCAGGATCACAATGAGAGCTGGGTTTTGCCTGTCGTCGTTCCTGTCGAGTGCAACATGGTGTAAAGCAGCCGTTTGGCAGAGCTGGAGGAGCCATGGCTCTGCGTGGGGCCTCTGCTGCTCCTAGGATCCTGCCTGACATCCAGTGATGCATGCTGACAGCAAAGCCATCTCCTTCTGGGAAGGAGGAGCCATCAGCCGTGGATCGGACCGCAGTCCCAAAGAGCTCACTGCACCTGCTCTGTATTTATACAGCAATAGTAGGAAAAAGTCAAGGCAGTGGGGCTGTGGAGAAAACGGGGTGGGAAAATCCAATCTCAGCTATGCAACACTGCATTTTTCTACCAACACATTAAGCAAAACCTTCCATATTAAACCAAAGCGACATTGTTTAAATCCTAAGGGGCTAATCCAACTTCCTATCCTGCATCTCTCCAGAGTGTTTCTTCTAGCAGGCTCCCATAGAGATGTGCTCTAAAGAAAAGATGTGAAAAAAATTCACAGCAATCTTTCAGCCAATATCTTAAAAGTGATGGAGTTGGTGCTTTCAGACGCACCTCCTACTGTGTGATCCATGCCTCTCAATGAGAGGAGGAATAACCTCACGCAAAGACAGATGGAGAATTTCTAGGGACACGCAGCCTTTCACATTGTCAATCCCAGCGAGGCCATGCCAGCAGCACTGAGGACACAGCTCACCCATTACCCTGATCCTAAAGCTTCCTAAGTCACTTTTTCCAAGGCCTATTTTCCCCATTCATCACCCCACTATAAAAAAAAAAAAGCAAACACCCAACATTAAAAACCTGCTGGGAGCGCAGTGGGGTTTGTAGCAGCAAACCCCAGCCAACGTGACAGAGACATCACCTAATAGCTATGCAAAGAGCTCTATTTTTAAACCTTTGCCTTGGCTACCTATTAACTCCTTTCCTCCTGGGACGAGGCGTGGAGATCCCTGGGTTAGCAGCGAGCACCAGACCCGATTCCTGCCTTTCAACCTTTACGATTTGTTTTTATCTCCAGGAGGGAGAGCTGCACCCCCCGGCCGCATCGCACACCCGGCTGTGTTGGTTTTGGAGCAGCACGGGGCTGCTTCATACTTGGCACTGGCAGAGCTGCGTTACACCAGCTGCTCAACAACAACACACCTGGATGCAGGCTGAGGCTGCAGGGAGCCGAGCAGAGCTCTTCATTACGGCAGGGTGACACGGCGATGCCAGCATGACCTCATGGTTTACTTTAGCTGCACGGTGACGTGATGAAGAGCACGTGTTTGCTCAGCTGCCCACGGCCCCTCCAGCAGAGCCGTGTGGGATGGACACCTGTCTGCAGGGCTGGAGCTGTCACCCAGTCGCATCCAAGCTTCTTCTCTGCCCCGCCGACGTAGAATCGATTTTCCTCTTGGCAAGATTCATTAAAAGTGGTTTCGGGTTTGGTTTGGCTCTCCGGACTGATGAAAAGATTTAAATTCTCTCTTTTTGAAAACCGTGCCTTACTCCGGCTGCCCAGAACAGGACAGGAAGCTGCAAACCCGATGGCATCCACATAAAGGCTGGGAAAACATCTCTGCAGCAAGCTGAAGGCTTGTGCAGGAAAATATGAGACATTCATGTCATAATTATAACTCACACTCGCACAGAACCTTTCAGCAGGGGATTAAAAAGCACTTTGTGAACATTATCGACCGCAGCTCCTTGACGAGGTAGGTGGGAGAGGCTGAGAGGTGCTGCTCCAGCCCATCTCTTTAGCAGCCAGAGTGTGCATCTGGGGGGCCGCGGTGCCTGGATCCTAAAAATGACACTGAAAAGGGCATCAGAAGCCAAAGCTGGTTCCCTACCAACAGCACCACGCGACTTTAGGACTCTGGATACAACACAGCAGCACAACTGAGATTCTATAACAAAACACCTCAAATTGCCATGAGATGGAGCACGCTGTTCCTAACCCAATGCACAGCACAGGACCGAGGGCTGGACCTACAGCAGTGCCAGCATAAGGCTGGGGACACTTTGCAAAGGTGCATCAGCAGCGTGCTGGCTGACAGCATCCCGCTGTAGGGTTACAGCTGAGTAGATGAGAGATCCTCAGCTCCAGACACACGAGGTTATCCATTGCTAACATGCATCTGAAGCATCTGCCTCTCACACTTCGGATAGTTTTGTCTCACAGTGCCAGGAACTACAACATCCCAGAAAACTTTGGAAAGCTTAGAGAAAAGGAAATTGTTTCAACAAAACCTCGGGACTTGCAGGACTCGACCAAACCAGCCCTGGCCAGCCACAAGCACATCCCCCTGCACTGCTGGAAGCAGCTCCTGAACCACAGCAGCATCAGCACCGCAGTGCTTTGTCACAGCTCAGGTCAGCTATTCCTTATCTGCTGGAAGATGAAAGCACCCCTGGTCCCCTAAACCCTGCATAAATGCCCCATCGAATTCTCACCTTCCCACTGCAAGCAAAGAGCCCCAAAGGCCACTTCCAAGCCATGACAAGGCAGTCTGCAGGCTGAAAAAAGATCACAGTGACAACTCAGCGAGGTTATTCCAACATACACCTCCTCACGTTGACCATTCCTATTTTAGACCCCTCTCCACTTGCCACAGAGCCGTAAGGGCACCCAGAGCCACCCAGCAGCACGCACAGTGCCAGAAGGGCACGCAGGGCACAAGCTCGCATTAGGAAAAGCTGTTTCACAACACAGTGCAGTTATAGGATGAGCAGTGGACTCTGCCAGGAAGAGATTTTTGTTGTTGTTGTTGCTCAAAACTGAACTAAACCAGAAAAAGCTGTGATTTTTATTGTTGGTGAAAGGTGCTGGATTTGCACTCACTCAGGAAGCACGGGATTGTGAAACGAGCTGGGGAGAGCTGATTTTCCTATCCCATGAAGGCTTTTAACTATCCAGAATTTCTTCATGTCCACATCACAGGATCAAGAACACAGAGTTACTATTACATTAAACAAGGATTTTATACCAGTTTTGTTATCAAATTCACCAGCTTCAAACCAGAATATCATGAGATTTGGCAAATAAAGCATTCGTATTTCTCCTGACTTTTTCACTAAAAAATCATTCTTCCAAGAGGAATTATCAAGGATTCCTTAGAGAAAGATTTGGCCAAAATTCCTCTGGAGGAGGCCAGCTTGGCTAGGGCACAAACTCAGCATTCCATCTGCAACTGGGCACTGCACACCTCCTGGCACACCTGAGCTGATGGGATGGCTGTGTTATCTGCCTATGGACTTCAGATAGTGGGTTTGAACAGCCACCAGCCGACCAGTGAAAGGGCATCAGCTAATTGCCTTGGGGAAGTAGGGAAAAGGAAACAAACTTCTACAGTGAGAGCAGTAGAGAAGGTGATGACTGATGGGAGGTGAGTGAAGACATCTCTGGACCCAGCTCCCCTTCAGCTGGAGCATCACTGAGCCTGCAACAGCAGCTTCAGCTGACAGCTCCAACAAATGAGGGTACTCACTTGTATTCAGCTTGCTCTTCCAGAGCACGTAAGCAGAAAGGAATCCTGTTCTATAAGAAAAAAGCTCTGGTGGGTTTCAGACAACTGCTGCAAGGCAAGGCAGGCAGCATCCCCACCGCAGGGCTCTCCAGCATCCGGTGTGTTTGTCAGTACAAGAGCGCAGACCAAGCGCTGGGATCTATGGTTTCAAAGCAAAAACACAAAGCTGGGGCTGCTTCCCTCTGTACCAATGTTCTCTCTGTAATTTATCTTGGCCGGTGAAGAACTTGTGCTTTTGGTTAATTCTGATTAGGGAAGCAGCAGTGAATTCCAGCCCAACTCTGATGGGACGTGGGGATGGAAACCGGCATCACGGAGCACGCAAGCACTGAACCCCTCCCGCAGCAAAAGCCATTGCACCAAGGCTGCAGCATCACCCCAAAGCAAAGCTGTGCTGCAGGGATGGGGCTGGGAAGGAGTCTGGGTGGTGCCAGGATGCAATCGTTCCAAAGAACTCAGAAACCACAACATAACTTCCCCCGTCATGTACAAAAACAATCTGCATGGAAGAGGGGCCAGTGAGTACATACACTCATTTACACTCTGTTGTTATTATCATACATGTTATTCTCCATCAGTGATGAAATCCATATGTCTGCTTTTCCCTTCGTTCCTTCTGCATTACCATCTGAGGCTCTGATTTAATTCCTGGCTTTCTCTATCGATAATTCGGAGCCATATAGGAGGGAAAGCATGGAATGGGAGACCTGGAGACAAAGCCGTAAGCAAAAACAAAGGGCAAAAAGGCAACTGCGGGGCCAAGCACCACATCTGTTGTCTCAGTCAACAGGGGTTGGGGAGAGCATGGAGCTGATCTCCAAAATGAAACAGACAGCGATTTACTGCGGTGAACCAAACGCATTGGGCAAGGGTTAAGAAACCAAGGACCTGAGCTTATAAACACTGCAGCACATACTTAACTCGGTTCCAACATCAAAGATGCCTCACGTGAGCAGAGTTATTGAGCATGTGTTTGCAGGGCACGAGGGGTTAGCACTGCAGTCAGAAAAGCTGGAAAAGGCGGGGACAGAAAGCACAAATAAACAAGGATTAAAAATAACCAAAATAGAGAAAACTGGCAGGGAAAAAAAGTTGGCAGTGAGATAATAATAGGAAAAAAAATTAAAAATTGTTAGCATATATGTGAGGCATCCTCAACCTGCTTGTTTGCCAGAGTGAGCAATGAAACAGTCTTGCTGCTGGAGCCTTTGTTCTCTATTACCCTTCTTGCTCTATTAACAGAGCCTCATCCATGAGAAAACAGCTCCATTGGCTTAAAAATTCTCACCCAGGTACAACAGCCTGCAGAGTAGGATGGTAAATTCCTTCCCAGCAGGATCTTATCTTTGCACACAGATGGACTGATGGGTTGCTCAAGCTTAGGACAACTCACCCAACCAGCAAAAACCAAGCAGAACAGCAGTGTCATTGTTTTTGCTTCCCATCACTCATGATGGCCACACATCAGCCCACCCCCAGTAACCTCATGCATTTGCAGCAATGGGAGCTCAGAGCAGATGTAAGCAACGGGAAACACTCCTGCAGGTTCCTTCCTGGGACTCTCACAGTGCTGCCTGCAGCCAGGTGGGATGCAAACATCCACTCCTCACCACCACTGCCCAGCTTCCACCAGCTCAGAGCAACAGCAACACTTAGGAACACCAAACTCGAGCTGGAAAAAGTGAGAGGCAGTGAGAAAGTGAGGAAAAACCCACCTACCCACAGAGCTCACACATTTCCTGTGGGAAAATCTGCATTTTTTTTTTTGGTGGAAGGCTGTCAAAAAAGGGATTTTTCCCATAGCTAACTTTCTTCCAGGGGAAATGCTGGAGTTACAGCCAGCTCTATTCTGAAGCTCTTAGGTTTCCAGTACTAGGCTGGGAATATAATAAAAATAAGCTTCTTCTGGAAGAGCACTGGTATTTCTAGCTCCGAAAAGAGCTGATTCGAGGAGCAGCATGCACAGCCATTAGTAGTGTTAGAAATCTGTCAATGGGAGATACAGCAGCGCAGATGAAAAATGTCAGGAGGAGCTTTAGAGAACATTTTAGCTCCCGTTTCCCTCTCCAAGTTATTTCCTCTGCCGTATTTCTCGCTGGTGTAAGACGACGAGTTATGAAGCATTCTTGTAGGCATGAGAAAGCTTTCACAGGTGCCTGGCATTCACTGAGAGCCCGACCTGCCTGGCTTTGGTGGAGCAGCTCAGCTAGGAGCACCCAACCCACCCCATCACAGTGCATCCAAACCCCAACCCCAACCCACGCATCCCCTCTCCAGGGAAGCACTCAGCACTCTCCACACACTGGCTGCCAGCAGCAATCCCTAAATCATCCCCTGCTCCTCTTCCCCTTCCAGTTTTGCTGGGGAAGGTCTGCAGCCGTCCCCTTTCAAGAAGGGTTACTGTGCCTCAGCAATTGCAGTTTCTGGGTATTGCTCCTTGACCTTATGCCTTCACGAGGCTGAAAGTCTCATTTTAAGTGCTGAAGGCACCTAAGGGATGGTGTGCCACTAAGATGAGCAGGATGCTAGTAGAGCGGGCAGCTTGCATTTCCTGAAGTTCAACAAGAGTCGCATCACTTTGCTAGGAATGAAAGCAAATGCTTTTTTGAGGTTCCTCCTCTATTCTCCTTACCAGGAAATGCTATCAGACACCAGCAGGAGAAAGTGAAGTTGGCTGCAAGAAGCAATTATTGAATCACAGAACTCTTTGAGATGGAAGGCACCTTTCATAAGCTCATCTAGTCCAAGTCCCCTGCAATGAACAGGGACATCTGCAGTCAGGGCTTTGCTGAAGTCAAAGCTTTCCTTTTTTCAGTAGCTCAAATGACAGTTCCATAGCACTGTACTCCAGGCACGTTTCCTTGGCAGCTGATCTCAGACAGTCCATATCTCATGCCTAGATCAGCTCCATGCAACAAGGAATGTGGTGCACCTTTATCCCACCTTCTTCCAGCGACCATCAGCTTCCTTCCTCCACCCCTCAGCTGTCTGGTTTTCAGCACTTGGTACCATATTCCTCGCTCTGAGCTGCCAGGAGGATGAAAGAAGCCTGCAGCTCTCCTCTTCATGAAACATAGCAAAGGGATCGTGTCATGGCTAATCCCTCCCCCACCACCTATCAGTTATTATTACAAGAAAACTAAATTGCCTTGGAAGCAGGAAAACCATTTTTTTCCTCATCTCAAGATTGTCTCCATTTACAATCAACGGCGTAATGCTAAACCAGCAATGTCTGAGCTGACCGTGAGGAGCCGTCCCCGAGGTGCAGCCGTGCCTGCAGACAAACAGGATCCAGACTTGGGCTCCATGGGACTCCAAGACTACCTTGCCCTGTGATAAGACCCAGCAGAAGGAAGCAAGCCTTGGGGGATTCACATGAGGCAGTGAAGGCTTGCAGCTGGACGGCAGCAAGCTCCGTGCTTGGAGCTGGAGAGAGATCACAGGAGAACCCATCGCTTCCCCTTAGAGATACCAGCTGGGCCAGCAAGCAGTAACCTGAGAGGGGCTGTGGTAAGGAGCTACGCTAGCTAACACCCTCTTATTGTCCACCAAGGCCCAGGCCCACCCTTCCCCAGTCATTTTCCTAGAAGTTTAACCTTTTATCTTTTCCAGGCATTGCTTTATTTTTCTGCAGCAGAGTTCACTCGCCGCTGCCCAGCAGGTACTTGTGGCAATGCATCTCAGAGGCTGATGGCCACATCCCTGCAGCATTCCTTTGCTTCCCTAAGCACTCTACCTTCAAGCTTTAGGTGACTCTGAGGTTTACCAGCACCAAAGGAAGAACCATGACCAGACACAAGGTTGGGGTAAGCAAAGAAGCTGTTTGCCTTCCCATTGCACGGCAGGTTGGTGGCTCACAGGGCCCCCCAGCTCCACGCTCTGCCCAGCTTGGGAACACCAGGCATTCTGCCTGCTCCGTGGCTCCTTGCCACAAATAAAAGCGATCGTGCTTCGGGGCTGCTCTCTCTTCCCACAGATTAGCTGCCTTTGCACATTCCCAAACAAA